CTCCCCCAAGCCCCTCCCCTCCCCAGACTCCACCCCACCAAATCACCAGGAGTTTCCCAAACCAGAGGTGACAATCCTAGATACAAAACAGCTTCTTTAACAGGACTTTTGAAGACCTGTGAGGGATTCAATCAGGCCACTGTGGTTATTTATTATGTGAGATTTTCAGGGAAGGGCTTAGGTGTTCTGTCATTCTATACTGCATTTTCATATGATACCCTTGAGTCTTCTCTCAGCATTTAAACGAACAAATAAAGGCCAGGGCCTGAGTCCACGTTCAGGCTGTTCCCTTTTACCGAAGAAGAATTGCTTTTATTCTCCCAGGTTTTTGGAGGCTGGGTTCCGTCAGGTGGCCCTGTTGTAGTTCTGGAATGTGGAGGGGTGCCCTCCCCTTTCTGTCTCTGCTCTCTCTGGCTAGCCAACTGTTTGCTATCTTATGCTTGACCTTGTAGATGCTCCAGCTGCAGTTTACTCGGCTGGGAAAGTTAACGGCTTTTCGCTTTGCCCGCTTGCTTTGCCCGCGCGTGCGAGATGTATCTATTGGCTCATGCTTACTTGGGGGGGGGGATGTTTGATTCTAGTATAAGTCAGAGGCCCTAGTACTGATGGCCATTCCTGACACAAGCTGTACACGTGTTCTTTAGTACTGGACTCATCAATAAACAGTTATCTTCTTATAAAGCCCTGTGTGGTGTGACCTGACTAAGGACCCTGACAGGTTCATCTATGTGACTGGTTCTGTTCCTTGTTTCAGGCACTGGCGTTACCACTTCTGAATGGACGTCGCTGTTTTTTTTTTGTTGCTATGCAACTTTAAAATTCTACCGTTTCAACAGCTGGCTTCATTGATCCCAAAATGGTTTTTTAAAAAACTTGTTGAGCTGCATGTTTTTAAAGATTTTTAAAACTGCTCTAATCGTTATGATCTTACGGGTCTTGCTCCAATTTGTAATTATTTTTAATAGCCGAAGGATTTTCTGTTCACCACCATGGGTAGCCTACGGTTAAGAAGCGGTACAGGAATGAGTTTAAGAGAAGAACAGAAAAGATTGGATTTATTCCGCGCCCTTCACTACGCAAAGGCGTCTCAGAGTGGCTTACAATCTCCTTTCCCTTCCCCTCCCCATAACGGACACCCTGTGAGGTAGGTGGGGCTGAGAGAGCTCTGAGTGAACTGCCCTTGAGAGAACAGCTCTGAAGTAACTTGTGACTGACCCAAGGTCACACCAGCAGCTGCATGTGGAGGAGTCGGGAATCAAACCCAGCTCTCCCGGATCAGAGTCCGTGCTCCTCCCCGCAACACCAAACTGGCTCTCACACCAAACTGACAAGGCAAGTTATTGCAACGGAGGAGATTTAAAAATAAGCTCCCCGTAACTCTGCTTGGATAAGCCGACGAGAGTGAAAAACAGCGGTTTTTACATGTTAAAGCTTATCGCTTCACAGTCTTGCCTCCGGGCCCTAGACCGCGATCTGTGACGTCCGCCCAACTGCAGAATCTAAACAGCAAAAGAAAAACGTCCGGGTCGCTCACCTTACATTCTTCATCCAGCAAGTCAAAGATACCCAGCTTAGCTTCTATGAGATCGATGCACGGCTGGTTGTCATAGAAGTCTATGAGGGTCCAGGGGATTTGCTCCTTCATGTACTCTTCTTGCTCCAACTTAAACACATGCTGCAACAGAGATAGGAAGGATCGGGCTGGGTTCAGGGAACGTTAATTCGGTGATAAACCAAAAACGTCCTCAGGGGCCTGGTGGACCAACAAGGCTTAGCCGGCACTGTGAGCAGCTCCTTAGCTGATTAATTTTAGTTTCAGGGGGTAGCCGTGTTGGTCTGCGGTGGAAGAGCTAGGTTCAAATCCAGTAGCACCTTCGGGACCAGCAAGATCTTGGGTGAATGAGATTCGAAGTCAAAGCTCCCTTCGTCAGATACAAATAAGGAATGGAGATGTATCAACCGAAGAAGAAGAAGAAGAAGAGGAGGAGGAGATTGGATTTATACCCCGCCCTTCACTACCCGAAGGTGTCTCAGAGCGGCTTACAAACTCCAAACTCGGGAAGGAGGGCTCCAGAGCTAACTAGTTTATGCAGCAGCCAAATCGCTCGCTCACAACTTTAATGCCAGCAGCTCACAAAAGTAGAATTTTTGCTCACAAGACTCCACAGCTTAGAGGGAGCATTGATTTCCAGAGTACTTCAGACCTATACTTCATATAATACGTCAATGGCATGAATTTAGAGAGGAGTGGAATAATTAATGGCATTCTTTATTCTTGATCAAATTCACAACACGGGAGAATATGATTCTATTTCCCTCTGCACCCATTTGCGCCTTCATCTTCGATTGGCTTGGTGCGCCCCCCCCCCTTTTTCTTCTGGACCGGAAAGGCACCAGCTGGTTATCAGCTCTAACGGCCACAAGCGTTTCCCACAAGACATTCAGACACTGCTTCTTTCACCAGTTCGCCACAGGTGCTTACAGCCACACCGCAGCTTCAAGTCTTCCACGGCAACAGTGCAGCCCCCGGCAGTGTGAACCCCTGTCCCGGCAGGCCCCAGGTTGTTCCAGCAGACAAAACCCTGAAGAGTGGGAGGCAGGAGCCCCTCTTCCCCCCACACCAATACCCCAATAGGAATCAGGCCCATCTGTGCTTTTTACACACGAGTTGCCACAGGGATCTGCAGTTGTTGTATGACTGCAGGTCCTCATGGTGAACTTGTGAAAGCCGTAGTGCCCAGTTTGGTTCTTAGGTTTCAATCCGACACACTCTCTTTGACAGAAACCTCCACTGAATACAACGGCAGTGGAAAAGAGCAAGGCTGATTTCGCACTAGAGCTGCCTCGATGTTGCACCGCCGTTTGTCCCGATACGATTGGTCAATTTCACACCCGAAGCTGCGGGGCTGCATTTTTACTCGCGGCTTCGCCCGATTTCCCCCGCAGTTTCGTGATCCTGTTTTTTGAGGATCACGAAACTGTGGAGGAAATCAGGTGAAGCCGTGGGTCAAATGCAGCCCCACATCTTCGGGTGTGAAATTGACCAATAGTATCGGGGCAAACGGCGGCGCAACATCAAGGCAGCTCTAGTGCGAAATCAGCCCAAGAGTCCAGTAGCACCTTAAAGACTGACAACATTTGAGGCAGGGGAAGAGTTTCCATGAGTCACTGCTCACTTCTTCATGTACAGCTAGACTCTGTCCTTATATCTTGGAGAGTGGAGTAGTTTCAATGCCGAATGACAATAGAAGGTCGCGCTGGAAGCTTGAAGCTACCGGAGCTGATTACGAGTGGTGTCCGATTTTGTAATGAATTATTACTGTTCCCAATGCATACGAGTAAGAGTATGATAACCACAGCAGCTGAAAGGGAACACCCTAATGAAGGATGAACTCTGAAACGTTGTATTCAAACATCCAGACACAAAGTCATATTCTTATAATAGTTTTCCACTGTTCATACTTTGTACTTTTCTATTGCAGTTAATGCACAAGTTGTCTATGGTTTGCATTTTGTACTTTTCTATTGTTACCACTTTGTATACATTACTTTCTATTACATGTTCTTTAGCCTTCTGGCAATTTGTTATTAGTGAGTCTGTTAACTACACTTGTTCCTGTTCTCTTTTACTATTTCATCATATAATAGGGTAGCTAACATCTTTGTATGCTAATAGAAGGCAAATGACAATAGCAGATGAATGACGATAGCAGGTGTGATCGGATTAGGTGTGATATGCAGAGCGTGGAGAAATCAGCATTGGTAATGAGACAGGAAACCTTGGTCTTGGTTCAGTCCAGGAGGATGCATTCTCTTGTGCTTCATTATCAGTTGCAATTCAGCAGTCTGTCTTCCTAATCTCCCTTTGAAATCCAATCGTGCCTGCTATTGTCATTCACCTGCTATTGTCATTCAGCATCTGAAATCACTCCACTCTCCAAGATATAAGGACAGATGGACTCACATTCTAGCTGTATCTGAAGTGAGCAGCGACTCACGAAAGTTCATACCCTGTCACAAATTCTGTTAGGCCTACTGGACTCTAGCTCTTTTCTACCGCTACAGACAGACTAACATGGCGACCCATCTTGATCTATCTGAACACAATGGAGCATATTCTTTGCCCTCAGTACACGTAAGATACCAACCCTACCATCAAGGTTTATATGAGTGTTTCAGTGCAGCTCTTAGCATACTTTTGTCATCTATGAAATAACTCATCCTTCAGATTTCTCTGCTGTGAGTAAAGTACGTCATTTTTTAAAAATTAACACCTTTTACAATGGGAGGAGGAGGAGGAAGAGAAGGAGAGTTGGGTTTATACCCTGCCCTTCACCCCGAGTCTCACATCAGCTTACAATCTCCTTCCCTTCCTCTTGCCACAACAGACACCCTATGAGGTAGGTGGGGCTGAGAGAGCTCTGAGAGAACTGCTCTTGAGAGAACAGCTCTGAGAGAACTGTGACTGACCCAAGGTCACCTAGCTGGCTGCATGTGGAGGAGGGGGGAATCAAACCCAGCTCTCCCAAGAGAGTCCACCGCTCGTCACCACTGCACCAACAGAATCAATGGAAAGGCCAAAAACCCCCCACCCCACCCCAATCCCCCAGGAAGTTTTCCCAAGCCCATCTTACCAAGTTGAACTGCTGCTGGAGTTTTTCATTGGCATAGTTGATACAGAATTGTTCAAAGCTGTTGACTTCGAAGGTTTCAAATCTGCAAAGGAACACCACAGTCACTAGGAATACCCCCAAAGAATGGATCCACAAGATCTGTTTTGGGATCATCTGTGCAGTATTATGCTGTCACTAGTTTTGCCTTATTTTTGTTGTGGCATTTGTTGAACCGTTCGTTCCTTTTTTCTCGGTTTGTATGTTTAGTGCTACATGTCCTTCATAACCATTTATATAGTATTGATGATGTTGGAAAGTACCATCAAGTTGTGACTGGCTTGTGGCAACCTGAAGGACAAAACTTGAGTCCAGGGCAGTGTTCCCTCTAAGCTGAGTTAGTGAGAGCTAGCTCACCGTTTTTTAGCCTTCAGCTCACACTAGTTCCAGCTCCTGCCAACCTAGCAGTTCGAAAACAAGAAATTGCAAGTAGATAAATAGGTACCACTTCGGTGGGAAGGTAACAGCGTTCCGTGCGCCTTGGTGTTTAGTCATGCCGGCCACATGACCACGGAAACATCTTCGGACAGCGCTGGCTCTTCGGCTTTGAAACGGAGATGAGCTCCGCAACCCTAGAGTCAGACTCGACTGGCTTTCGAGCAAGGGAACCTTTACCTTTACCTTTCTACACACCTTTTTGTCTTAGCTCGGGAAGGAGGGCTCCAGAGCAAACAAATTTATGCAGTAGCCTAAATCGCTTGCTCACAACTTTAATGCCAGCAGGTCACAAAGTACAATTTTGGCTCACAAGACTCCACAGCTTAGAGGGAGCCTTGGTCCAGGGGCACCTTTAAGTCCAGCCACGTTTTATTCTGGGTATAAACTTTTCTATACAACCTGGTAGGGTTTCCAAAGGAAGAGACATTTGAAAGTGGTTTGCCATTGCCTGCCTCTGTATAGCAACCGGACTTCCTTGGTGGTCTCCCATCCAAGCACTAATTAACCAGGGCCGACCCTGCTTAGCTTCCAAGATCTGATAAGATCGGCCTAGGCTGGGCCATCCAGTTCAAGTAGTGATGCTGTCCACAGGCATGTGATGAAAAGTGCCGTCAGACTGCAGCTGATCTGTGGCAACCCCGAAGGGTTTTCAAGGCAAGAGATGAACGGAGGTGTGGTTTGCCATGGCCTGCCTCTGCGTAGCAACCCTGGACTTCCTTGGTGGTCTCCCATCCAAGTACTAACCAGGGACAACCATGCTTAGCTTCCAAGAGCTGACCAGACCAGGCTCACTAAATAAAAAAAACTTTAAAAACAGAAAAACTCAATGCAAGGGAGAGAATACTTGTCAGAGATGCTTTAGGCTGGTCCTGCATTGGGCAGGGGTTTGGACTAGATGGCCTGTATGGCCCCTTCCAACTCTATGATTCTATGAAAACTGCAAATGAGAATAAAGTCATGTTCGTTTCTCACAAAGGGAAGAAAAATTGAAAGACAGGCTCAGTCAAACCAGTTGGATTTTGAAACCTGGTCTCATTCTAGCTGTGTAGATTGATGATGGCATATAAACTACAAATATCAGCGTCCTGAAGTCACCATGAGGAATTTCAGACAGACGAGGAACGGTTCCCAAATGGTTTCTGGTCTGTCATTTCAGACAGAACCGTTTTAGAACCGGTTCCCTAGCGGAATATATTTGTAATTTCAGACA